CAGATCAGGGTGCCCTGCCAGCTGACAAGTGAGAGAGCAAGAAAAGAGATTCTGATCAAGTTATCTATGTCATTTTGTTTCTTTCTGCAGCGCACCAAAGAGCCAATCGACTGTTAGAAAAACATTTCACATTACAGAGAAAATGCTGTTATGTATGTCCGTAAGGTGGGGTATGTTCGTTATTACACGCGGCAACCTTTGTTGCGGCAACTCTTGGTTTATAGGCGAGGGGGCGACGAGGAGAGGAGAATCGTGCCGAGTTTCCAGTGTTCAGCAACTCGCTTTTTGTTCTTATTCGTAACAGTTCGCTGCGACGTTTTTCGGCATTCGTGTACTTTCTTTCGTAGTGCATAGTTGCATTTGCGTATTTATTTTTAAATGAATATGTTGAATATATTTAAAAAATTTAATTTCATCTTTTGGTACGTAATTTGCAAATATATAAACAAATATACAAACAAATATATATGTATAATATATTATAAATATTTTAGAAAATGGAGTATGACGAAAAAATCGAATTAATTAAAGATATTGATTCAGACGATAGTGAAAGGGTGATATATGTCAAGGTCTGTTATATAATCTTTGTTTTAATTTTGAATTATAAATAAAATGTATTTCTTAATTGACAGGACTGATTAGTATATGTGATAGAGTGGCCCAAATACCTATAAGGAAAAAGAAACGACAATGGGTTAAAGTAAAGTGAAAGAGAATGAGAAAAAWMCTCGAACAGAGTTGCGCAACACAAGTTGCTCGTGTGAATGTAATGGGCAACAACAAAAGAGAATCGCGCGAGAATCAGCAACAAAAGTTGCTTCGTGTAATAGCCGACTATTGAATCTTTTGAAAGATAGAATAAGAGCATGTGAAAAATATGGCTGTTTTTATTATTTCCATTGATATTTTAACAGGTTCCCTGTCAGCATACAAAAATWAATTTTTAACGGTACACGTGCAACACTTATTTTTTAAATTATATTGCTGTAGGCGTTTTTAGAGGTTATCGATGAATTTTTGAACTATCCCACACATCTTGACAGTGATATAACGGTAACAAAAAATTTATATCAGCTATGATACACGAACGTGTCACTACGAAGATGAATTGCATACGCTCAATGTACCATCAGTCATACATTTAATAAACTTATTTCAAATCAGCCAAAAGTTTTTTCATATATGATACATGGATGCTGTACACAATAATTTTGTATCACAGCACACTCACCGCAGAATAGTCTCAGATGGTGTATTATGTCCTCATTCAGAGCAATTTTTTTTAAATAGTTGTAAACTGCAAAAACCTACTTCAGTGAAGCTTCTTAGGGAGTATGATTCATCCCAGATATAGAACACTTGATTTTTAGAAATAGCATGTTTCGAAACAAACATTTACAGTGCAACAATTAAGTTTACATACCCCAACCTAGTTCTATTAATGTACGACACATTTCTTTGTTTTAAAATTAATATATTTTGTGTACTTTTTTATACCTATTTCAAAAGATGTATTTGAAGTGAACAGACAATGGCAGAGTAAATAATTTTTATTTATTGTAACTAATTTAAATTGTGTTATCATTTCGTTTTATCTTATATTATAGAGAAAAAAAAGTGGACACACGAGCGGAAGAAATTATTAATAACAACAAGGCTTCGCCACGAAACAGAATTTTCCGGCAAAAAAAGAAAGAGAAATACAATTTGGGAGGCGATTTTAAGGGAAATGAGGGACGTTGAGAGCTCGTTTCCATTTTTATGAGATGAAAAAACGAGGTGTTTTCTCAACATAATGGGGACTTATAAGCGTATAAAGAAAAGAAACAGTACTTCTGGCGAAGCAGCATCAAATTGGGAATATTTTAGTGAAATCGATGAAGTGTTTGGGAGTCGTTCTAGTATTGAAGTGCCGCTAGAAATGACCGAGTATTCTATAATTTCATTGGAAAGTCCTTCCACCATAGCAACAATTGACGGAATGGATGTAACACCTMCAACATCAGTTAAAAGAAAGAGAAATGAGGTAATCGAATTCTTAGAGAAAGAATCCGAAAAG